AGAAATCTGGCAGAAATCTGTGGTGCCATTAAATGTCATGCAATATGTTGTCATGCTTTGTTTCCATGTTGTTTGCGTCTTCTTTAGGCTTTTCCTAAGAAATTTTTTCGGATTGAAAAGATTAAATAGTATGATAAATCGCTAAAGCAAGAGCTTTGGAAGAGAACAAACTCTAGTGAATCAAGAGGTGAATAAATGATGTTGGAAAAAAACACACACTTAGAAAATCAAACAAGAGTAAAACTAATATGTCCATTTACTAGAATCCATGATGCATACCTGCCAGCCAAAAGGTTTTGGGCTTGAATTCTCATAGATTTTTCCAAAAGTGTCCCTGGCTCCCACCCAGACTGTCCCAACATAACCTAAAATGGGTACCGGGATATGTTCTGGGAAGTAGTTGTGGCGGTGTCATGCTGACCACATGACCCATTTATTGCCAACTAGTCTATACAAAACATGGATCTAGCATCATATCTCTGAGGGAACAATTTTATGAAAAGTTTTCTTCACCTCTACCTTCAGTTATGACTAAATTCAGCCATTTAAACCTAGAAGGATATGCTCTAAAACTATTATAATTAAACAAAACAGCATCAACATATTTTCATAAGCTCCTGAAAGACACATATAAGAGTAGAGAAAATAGCTATTTAGGCATTAGAACAAGCAGCAGTTGTAAACTTGGGCAGCTGAGAGAGACTGACACAATCAATGGAGTGTCTGACTCAAGCAATCAACAAATAAAAATATTCTACGTTGTTTACAGTGAGATTTCAATATTTGACACCCGCATGTTTGGGCAAATTTCTATAACTAAAATAGGGCTTCCAGTTTGCCCCAGCCTAAAATGAGAGCTAGTAATTGTCTTGGGAGGTAAAGGTGTCCAGCGTGACGCTGACCACATTAAACATAAAGTTCCAACTGGTCTATGAAGATGTGGGTCTGGGATCATATGACCGTCCAATGCCCCAGGGACTTGAAAAAAAGGTCCTTAACTTTATTTGACTAGGTTCCCTGTGCGGGTTCTGGGGTCCCAATATGAAGGGAAAACAAGAATAGACCCACTGCCTCTCCAACTAGCATGTCATAGGTGTCGATTAATTGGTGGCATCCTTCGAAGTCAGAGTACATCCCCCTGAGAGGGAAGGAACCAAGCGTCTGCAAAACATAAACTAGATCTGTGAAAAGGATGTGCACTCAACACTCAAATTCTGGAACAAGACTTAAGTCTAGACATGGATGAACACCCAGAACTTTCCCCCAGAGTTTACAGCCAGTGAACGTGAAGAAGAAAACAATGGTTTTACTAAATGATTAAAAAGTAAATAGAGGACCCTTTACATAACTGTCATATTAAACAGTAAGTGATGTGGTCAACACTACACTGTCCATTATATATCAAATTAATCAACCCAACTGATACACTGATTATTCAAGGAAACTGATTGAACTTACGAAAGATCAACAATATTCAAGTCCTGTATGTTAATTCAATAATCGTCTGGTGGGTTAATTCAATTGTGAAGCACAGCAAGTGTATTATCTAGCAAGTCAGGGGGTTAATTCAACTAACTTCTATCAACTCTCTTTGTCGCACTGATGAAATATACCTAATCAGTAAGACTCAATGTTTGCATTTTATATTTTCTAAGTACACATTAATTAGATTTAAAGGGGAAAATGGGGTTTACTGCCAGTACTGACCCATAATTTTAGGGCACTGCAGGACAAGGAAGAGGACTATGGTCAGCACCGCGAGGGTTCAACACTGTGTGGCTAGCACAGACACCAAAAACTATGAAAATTAGATTTTTCAGTTTTACCTCTGCACAATAATTTCCCTCCCTTGCCCAGGATCAAACCCGAGTTCTGCTGCATGAGAGTCCAGTACTCTAACCACTCAGCCAGATGCCTCTTTCAATAGACAGTTTTTAATTACCAAGTGACTGGGGTTAATTTTGCAAGTCCTACACTTAATACATCATGTGTAATTGTTCTTCCTACATTTAGCCAGAGTACATTAAGAAATCTGGCAATATTTTTGTTTTAAGATAAAGTGTATGTAAAAGCATTTTGGGAAACACTATATAATCTTGTTGTTACTTTTATTTCTTTTAAACTTGCAAAAAAAACTGTTAAAAGAATACATAAACAGTAAAAGTACGATTGCAAATTATATTTCTGTTCAAATTTCAAACAGTGAATATAAAGTGTAAGTTGAATAATTCTACTTACAGTCTGGCGCACTGGAGGAAGAGAAATAAACTGTCCCAGCTGCAAGATGACAGGAGTATTTGACGTTAGTCACAATGATAATATTTGCAAGATATGGTATTTTCAACAAACCATCAAGTCTTACAGGTAAATTTAAAAATCAAGACTGGAATACCCAGTTTATCATTAAAAATATTGAATTAAGAATCAAAAGAGTTTCCATCCCGATGATGCCAGTAACTGTCTGTATATCTGCCACGCCTTTCCCTTGAGTGTTGAACATCAGTCAGATCCCCTGATAACTCTTCGCAGTGCCATTTTCATTACGAATGAATTGAAATTAAGAAATGAGATAATATTTTTTAAGGACTACATCATTTGTGGAGGTATAACAATTAATTTTGATTTATTCAGTTAACTCTCATGTGTTTTATGTGGCCATCATCAATTTCCACTTTTGCTGTTAATCGTTGTGAGATGGGGGGAGGGGGGAAGAAGAACAGTTTGCAATCCACTGTTTGATGGGTAGCTTAGATGTTGTAATCATATCATCTTCTTTGTGACTGCCCTCTTCCTTGCTTGCCAGATTTTTTCAGATGCAACACTTGTGCTGGTAGTTGTGACTGAATTATAATTAGATGACCAAATGAACTGATTTTCTGCTTCTGAACGAATCTGAGACGATTATGTTAGTGCAACAATCAAAAATAGTTACTTCAGGTAACCATGGTTAACATTAAATTGCCCTTACCATGAAACTGACAATCAGGCGTATGATACTAGATCATTTAACTAAGTTTATCCAGGGATCAACACTTCGAAAATGGGGATTGTCACGGGCCAGAAGGCAGAGCTCCAACAAAGAAAGATCACTATTACAACACAAAAGGCGTTAATCCGTGGGCCACTTACTAGGCTTCCGCTGGCCAGATTTAGCCTGCGGACTGCCAGTTGAATAGCCCTGTGATAGATTGACATATTCCCCGTGTGGGTTTCAGGTCCTCACTGTGGGGAAAAACAGAAACAAACCCACTGCCTCCTAATGAGCATGTCACAAGAGGCGACTAATTAGGGATGTTTCCTTCAAAGTCGGAGAGCATTTGCCTGAGAGGGGAGGAACCAACAGTCTGCATACAAATAGACTGGATGTGCATGCTAAACTCAGATTCTGGAACAAGATTAAAGTCCAGAAGTTGGTTAAAGCGAAGAAGAAGAAGATCAATATTTTTACAGACCAGTCAGCAGTTAATAGGCAATGTAGTCTACACTTTGGTGGCCACTTTTAGGTCACATGCAACTGCCTGAAACTTATTTCAAACTGGGTCAATCTGGCAGCTAGAGTCATAGCTGACCAAAGCCTTTCACATGAATATAACAAACATATGCACTCAAGCCAGTATCAAATGGTGCTTAGTCTTCCCTTTTTAGCATTTACTAAAATGTTTTTTTTCTTTTCAAAACACCAACTAGGCATGTACAAGGTTTCTGGAATAACACCAAGCAGATTTAACATACCTGGATGATTCTCCATCCATTTTTGACGCGCAAGTAGATGAATTCTTGGTCCATGACGTAAGCCAGCATTCCAACTGGCAAATTGTTAGAGACTTGCAACATAGAGTCTAAATTTCTGTACACTGCTGCCCCCTGTCAATAAATATATTTGTAAGCATTATTCATTTAGGTCTGAATGGCAAGAAAATAAACTTTACTTCACCGTTAAAACAATGAAAAATTAGCCTGTATGGTTCGATCTCTATCCCCACAGCAGTGGAGCTGCTGTACAAAGTATAAATCCTGTAGCCCCAGCATCTACCCCCAAAACTCACTGAAATATCTGTACCCTCAAACCGAAGGATGAAGTTCAAAACTCAAATTATACTTCCAGAACATAGAGTAAATGGCAAAACACTTTGCCACAGTAACTCCCTAAATGGAATTCAAGGAAGATTAGCCAAAAGAAAAGAGTAAGAAGAAGCACATACTGCTTGGTCTCTTCCCTTCTTCTTTTTTCCTACTGCTTATGTCATAAAGCATTACTGAGAGGAGCTGGATGTAATTTCATGTCTTTTGCTAGTTGCATAACTCGTGTTAATATTGTACCGTGTTTCTGTAGTGTCTGTTTTACTCCCCATCTCTTTCCTGATCAACCGATCAACCTCTTCACTTGTAGCCACCAAACAACTAACCCTGCTGCCACTAGCTCCCATCCATGATAATGATCAAACACACACAATACAAACAACTAACCCTGCAACCATCAGCTCCCATGATAATCATGAAACACACACAATACAAACAACTAACCCTGCAACCACCAGCTCCCATGATAATCATGAAACACAAAAAATACAAACAACTAACCCTGCAACCATCAGCTCCCATCCATGATAATGATCAAACACACACAATACAAACAACTAACCCTGCAATCAGCTCCCATGATAATCATGAAACACAAAAAAATACAAAAAACTAACCCTGCAACCATCAGCTCCCATCCATGATAATGATCAAACACACACAATACAAACAACTAACCCTGAAATCAGCTCCCATGATAATCATAAAACACAAAAAATACAAACAACTAACCCTGCAACCATCAGCTCCCATGATAATCATGAAACACAAAAAATACAAACAACTAACCCTGCTGCCACCAGCTCCAACTGTGCTGCCAAATCCAATAACTGTGTCTGTGCCACTCAATCCAATACCTGGGGCACCTGGAGGCCCCGGAGGACCAGGGGGGCCCGGAGGTCCTCGTACTCCATGTCCACCAGTCAAATAGTCCCCTGGTTGTCCTGGCGGGCCCGGAGGCCCTTGTGGGCCCACTAGTCCAAGTCCTGGCCGACCTGGTGGGCCAGGAAGTCCCGGCTGGCCTGGCTTGCCTGGTGGGCCTTCAATGCCAGGACCTGGAGGTCCTCGAGGTCCCTGTTGATGAACACAGAAAACAGAATAAATACAATCATTCAACTAGAAAACAGCATTAAGTTTAAGACAGCCTCATAGCAACAAGTTTGTAAAGAAGTTTTGTAATAGAAAAAAACACTAAAAAAAACTCTAGATGTAAGGAAAGGAATCATAACATTAAAAGGTGAATTCAGGCCAGCATTTAATGTAATAAATTATAAAAATGGTAACATCTTAACAGACACTAAAGACATGAGAAAGACTGAAAGAATATTGTAGAGAAATACATGAGGCTCCAACAAGTAATTCAGAAACAACTTCTGAAAGTGAGGAAAAATAACTGGAGCCTTTATCGGAGGAGGTAAGATCAGCAGGAGATGCTACAGGGAATGGAAGTATTAGTCCTTTGCATATACTAGGCTGTGATACAAGAGGTACGGTGGCCAGATACCATGCAAGGGTCTTTGTGGAAAAGTGGCCAAGCCATTTGCCTCATGTTTTCATGGTGGTGGGTTTGTTTCAGGTATGCATTGTGTAGTTCACGAGTGCACTTTTTACAGATTATCACTGGAGCTAAGGAGCTCGTGCTTTATACAACACTATTGGTAGGTAGCTGTCTATTCTATGGAAAGAGACTGAACCAAAAGGGGTAAAATCTAATGCAATAACGCCAAGAGGATCTCAGTTTTAACTTTTACAATTTCTCCCCACAATTGGAAACATTGTGTGGTTTCATTCATTATATCTGGCTTCCTTCCAAGTGTAGGAGATCAAATACCTGTAGTCTGTCCTCTCTCGCTCTTTGGTTCTCGTTATAAAAGACTTTTGGACACATCTCCACCAATGACCAGTGGGGCCACCAAAAAGAAAATCATGGCGTGGTAGGGGTGGTCAGACCCCAATAGTTTTCTAGAGGATGGGGAATCTAACCTTGCTTAGGTGCACAATATAATAATTTTCTTGACAAGTAAATATAATAATATTTTTACAATAAAATTAAATGAATAAACAAATATTTAAAAAGAGAACATCTATACATGGGGGTCCCTTGCAAATGTTCCGGACTGTCGAAGGCAGCCCTCTTAAAAATTCACGAGAAAGGGGGGATGTGAGGAAGCAGAAAATATTATGGAGCAAAGATAGTCAGTGAAAAATCAAATATGTCCAAACATCCCTCTCTCTTACCGGTTCTCCAGGTGGGCCCTGAGGTCCAGGAATACTCCTTATGACTTGTCCATCAGGACCAACTGCAGTAGCAACACCAGGAGGTCCAGGTAGGCCTCTTAGGCCCTGGGGACCTTGCAAACCCTTAAATAGAGAAAAGTAAGCTTATTAATGGAAACATGCATGCAAGCATTCACAGGCTGTATTGTGTAAATACACAAGTACAGTCAAACATAAAGGAACTGTTTACAAAATGAGGTAATGGTTATAATTAACTCTTTCATTCACGTAAGCCACAAGGTCTTAGCTAATGTCTGAGGGAGTTACAAATGGCAATATTAAACTCATGGGCATACTATCTCCGCAGGAACCAGGTATACAACCCTTGCTGGAAACAAATATTTTTTCACAAATCTTCAAAGTCGCTCACAAAACATAAGATGTAAAAACATAAATAACATCTTGACTGGTACCCATGAATAAGACCAAATTATGCACAGTGCGATCTTTGAGACAGAAAGTGTTAAAAGTCGCTGTGGCTGCCAATGTTTCCCAGGATATTTCCTGGTTCCCCCTCTAGGCTGGGTTGATCTGGGAGTCAAGTTTACTGAGCAATAAAAATTCTTATGCTAAACAGGATTCAAACAAATGATCCATTTGCTAGGAGGCCAAAGATCTAATCTCTACATTAATGTGGTTGCCAGTTTGTCTCAATGGTGGTTAGTTCCTGTAAAACACTTTCCCATTTGTTGGTTAGTTCCTGTAAAACAGTCTTTCCCATTCGGTGCTTTGTTCTTGTAAACTGGTCTTTCCCATTTGGTGGTGAGTTCCTGTAAACCATCTTTCCCATTTACTGGTCCGCCTACCCTCCGGAGTTCTCAGACAGATTTAATGGTCAAGATATCATTTATAAAAATGAAATTTTTTTTTGAGTGTGTGTGTGTGCAATCCCCATATTTATGAATTATAAAAAGTATGCGGTCCGTGGCAGACCTTGGAAAACAAGAATGTAGGCTACTGTTATTTCATGTGGATGCAGATTGCCTTTAATATCATCAATTGCCTTTAATATCATCAATTGCCTTTAATATCATCAATTGCCTTTAACATCATCAATTGCCTTTAATAGCATCAATTGCCTTTAATTTCATCAATTGCCTTTAATATCATCAATTGCCTTTAATATCATCAATTGCCTTCAATATCATCAATTGCTTTTAATATCATCGATCCATCTTTTCAACGACCACCCCTCTGCTTTTACATCAGATCTTGTTAGATGTAGTGCCTGCACTGTTAATCACTGCGGTCACATCCAATTGTCATAACTAAACTATCTGATCTTCTGCTTCTCAATGAATTTGCTGCTGGGTATTGACCCCAGAGTCGTGGGTATTGACCCCAGGGTTGTGGGTATTGTCTCCAGAGTCGTGGGTATTGACCCCAGAGTTGTGGGTATTGTCCCCAGAGTCATGGGTATTGTCCCCAGAGTCGTGGGTATTGTCTCCAGAGTCGTGGGTATTGTCTCCAGAGTCGTGGGTATTGTCCCCAGAGTCGTGGGTATTGTCCCCAGAGTCGTGGGTATTGACCCCAGAGTCGTGGGTATTGACCCCAGAGTCGTGGGTATTGACCCCAGAGTTGTGGGTATTGTCCCCAGAGTCGTGGGTATTGTCTCCAGAGTTGTGGGTATTGTCCCCAGAGTGTATCATTTCTCATATGGCCTTGGATGGTTCATTTGTTGCAACCTTCCTCGGGCGTCTTCTCTCAGAGATGTTGAGTTTTTTTAAAGTATCCAGAAGCCATGAGCCGTTAACCCTTAGGCTCGGTATTATGGATATCGCAACCTTTCGGTCTTGACTCCATTGTAAATACCGTAAATCTGGGTGAAATGTGGCTTTTCTGCCTACCCCGGGCGTGAACCCGGACCGCAAGGATTTTGTCACGCGGTCACTGCGTAATCCGGTTTAGCCAACTATGCTAGCGAGCCGGGCAGATGTTGAGTTTAAATGGCTGAGTCTTTGATAACGTTCAAGACTGGCAATAGTAGCACAGTGTTGATAACGTTCAAGACTGGCAATAGTAGCATAGTGTTGATAACGTTCAAAACTGGCAATAGTAGCATAGTGTTGATAACGTTCAAGACTGGCAATAGTAGCATAGTTTTAACAATTTTCAGAATCTTCTTCTTCTTAGCGTTCGCCAGCTGTAAACTCTGGCAGAAAAATTATGTCTGTTTGTCCACCTTTGAACTCTAGTCCTGTTCCAGAAACTTGAGTGTTGCGTTTACATTAATTTCACAGGTATGAGTTATTTTCAGAATGCCTTAAATAAAAGTTTGTTTAGGATTTCAACTTATTATTCAGCATGACACTGACCACACAATCCATTATTTGGTCAAGAAAAAAATACACCTACCATGATGGTATTAGAAGATAAATTTGTAATGCAGAATAAAAACTGTTACTGTTTATTATTATTATTACTAAATAAAATATTGTTGAAAAATCAGAGCGATAAATGTTCACTTAAATGAACAGACAGAAAGCATCAAATACAGAGGTCTGAAAAGACTGGGAACAAAACCGAGCTGCTAAAAAAATAAGCAATAAAAAAAGGCCCCAAAAAACTAGTAAAATATTCTAGCATAGTAAAAGAAGTAAGACTTGTAAACACATTTCAAGTAAAATGAAGGAAATACAGCAAGAAATAGCAATGTAATAGAGGGATAACTTTAAGAAATTGACTGGTAAACTGATCTATATGTCTATATAGATCTATATGTAATATACAATAAAGACAGAACAAGTCTGAAAATCACTTACATCTCGGCCCGGTCGTCCATCTTGCCCATCTCTGCCAGGGAATCCTTGATCACCTTTATCTCCTTTCTCTCCTTTCTCGGCTGAGAGCAAAAAGACACCAAACAAAAAGACATTATTCTTGGTTACAAGGCTGAACTGGGAACTGTCACAGTGTAGTTAAGTTAGCTTGCCTGCAAGCCTAGTAGCAGTGTGTTAGAATTACCTCTGAGAAAGAATTTTTTATATTTTTTATTGAGTACTTCTCATATGATTACTAGAATCACAGATAGTGTCAGTGCTCTTGTCGTGTCCTTATGCATATGGCAAAACCATTTAGGTATCGATCTCTCTGACTTACCCTTGCTCTTGTCTCACCCCGTCAATAATGCCAGTCATAACCAAGTTTACAAGTCCATTCCTTCTCACAACTTGACTGTGTATCATTTACTGAACGCTGCAGAGCCAACCCCAGCATTTTCTGGCTGTTCATGATTTTTCAAGGCACTTTTTACTTTTAGTAGTTTGCCACTGCTTCTGAGCGGATGGCTTTAGATACACTGTGGGAAACAACATAAGGTGGTCAGCTGGCAAACTGTCTGCAGCTGCGACTGAACCCAATAACTCAGAATAACAGACCACATTTGCAACACCTAAGCCACAGACGCCTCTTGCTTGTATCCCCCCCCCCCCCCCCCCCCCCCGCCCAAAAAAACAAACAAAAAAAACTGGCTGTTTAGGACACAGTACAACCTCTCTGAAAACCTTATATGTGCCTTACTTGACACTGATCTATCAACTACTGCGTAGAAAGGCCTCACTCACCTAGAAGGATGCCAACATCATCCCTGCCACCGCCGTAGTACCTGCCTGGAGGACCGGGTGGGCCAACATCACCCTTAGGTCCTTGAGAGCCCTGAAATCAAACACAGTGTCCATATTACTAAAGTAGTTATATTAGTAAAGGCAAGGATTTCTTGAATAAATTTAAAAATTAATAAACAAACATAGATAAATGGACCCAGATAAAGGATTATAGATGAATGAAAAGTATTTACG